CCTGCTAGAAAGACGCTAAAGATAGATAGTTTTGGCTTGCTCCCGCTTTACAACCGCTCGCTAAGTATTGAAAATCCAGAAAGTGATGGAGTGTTACTCAAAGTGAATAAGAAGTAGTTTTCAGAGGAGTAGTCAATATTGATGGGTAATTAATTTTTACGTCGAGCGCGACAGCTGCCTCATGCTACTGGTTATAATGACTCGATAACATAGGTCTAGAAATCTGCTCTAACCACCAACAATCAAAGTATTTTTAAAAAATAGTTTCAATAATTTAATTTTACCAACTTTTTTTTGAAGGAGGTACATTTGCTAAGAAAATTCGAGGAAGACTTCTATGGATCAATGATGGATGTTCTAATACTTGGCTTCATTCGTCCAATGACGGTATTCAATAGTCTAGGTGAGATAACGTCATGATTGCATTGCGTTTAGGTGATTTATTACTACAGCATTATTCATGAAGTAGAAAAGCTGCTTGGGTGCTACAGTTAGAAGCTAACGTCATTGTTTGCTGCTTCCAGATGACCTTCGTGCAGCAATCGGCTCCGATATAGCTATAGCAGAGAAGGAATTGAAGAAGATTGACGCGAAAGATTTGATACAGCAATACTTTCAGCAGTGATTTTTCTAAATCAAATCGTGTAGAGTAGAGATTGATATTTTGTTGTTCTACAGCATAATATAACATAAGAGGTTGTGATGTCATTCTTCTAATTCCTTGATTCCTCGTCTATTCACTTTAAACATACTTTTTTTTCAGAAAAATTATAATAATTAATGCATACTCTCAATCTGATGACATCAACATGTGAGCTTAATTATGTCACCAATGACTCCTCGCATCAATATTTCCTACTCACTGTTCTTGCACTTTCCTGTTTTTTGTTCTTTTTTTTTTCAAAAATCCTTACGAGATAATTGAATAAATGCTGTTAATAATTTTGTTCTTGTAATTAGATCATTGCTTGTTTTAAATCATACTTTATAATTATAATATGCGAGTTATTTGTGCAAACGATGTCATTGCACAATACACACCGACTGCTAATGACACAACGCAGTTTTACCTTTTTTTGTCCCAATGTGCAACCGCACCAGCAAGGGAATTGAGTAACCAACTGCTAGTAGCAAAAAGGAAATTCAAAACACTCTGCTTTTCAATTTTCCTTAGCTTCAATTTTTTTGAGTTATAATGAGAATCTAATTTTAAATATATTGAATGGCTCTTTCCGTGCTTCTAATGTGCTAACTTTCTTCCGTATGAGTCAGAAATAACCGAAGACTCGTTATTCTCTTTTTTCTTTTTTTTATTCATTTTTACATATCCTGTGTCAAACCAGAAATATTTTTGATGTAGGTTGTTATTATTTGGAGTAATACATATGTAAGGGTTTAATGCGTTACGTCAGTTACGTTTTGCACGCAACATGATTTTTCGTGAACTTTTAGAGTAAGAAATGTTGTAGAAAATTCCACATTCTGTGAAAATGTCATTTGCAATAG